ACTGGACCTTCTGGAATGACTGGACCTTCTGGAATGACTGAACCTTTTGGAATGACGGGACCTTCTGGAATGACGGGACCTTCTGGAATGGTGGAATCTTCTGGAATGATGGGATCTTCTGGAATGGTGGGACCTTCTGGAATGATGGCACCTTCTGGAATGATGAGACCTCTGGAATGATGGGAGTGTTCTAGGTTATCATTGTGGTGGTTACGCAACTGGATATGCTTCTCAAAACTCACTAAATAGTATACCTAAAATTGGTGGGTTCTGGCTGGGCATGGTGGCTCATGCCTATAATCTTAGCACTTTTGGAGGCCGAGGTGGGCAGATCACCTGAGGTCAGGAGTTCAAGACCAACATGGTGAAACCCTGTTTCTACTACAAATATAAAAATTAGCCAGTCATGGTTGTGCATGCCTGTAATCCAGCTGCCCAGGAGGCTGAGGCAGAAGAATCGCTGGAAACCACGAGGCAGAGGCTGCAGAGTGCACTGAGCTGCACTGCACTCCAGCCTGAGCAAGCGAACAAGACTCCATCTCAAATAAACAAACACAATTGGTGGGTTTTATTGTACACAATTATGCCTTGGCAGAGCTGAGCCCCAAAAGCATCATGCAGTGGAAGCCACTGACATGCCATTAACCAAGGCCAAGTCCATATCCTGTGGCCACCAGGAGGCTGCCGGGGGGGGAGTAAGATTTCAGTTTCGTTTTCCCAAAGGATTCCTCTAAATCTAGGTGAGCAAAAGCAAAACATGCTGCAGAATTTTTAGAGTTTTCCTGACGCCGCCTCCACCCCCGTGACCCAGCCAGCCCATGGCAGCTGTCCCATCACGAGCACCTCAGTTTCTCTTCTTCCGAGAGAGGTCCGACCACATGGTCAAAGGGGCGTTGGTTCTCAGCCGCCACATCAGCGTGTACTTTCCAAGCTGCATTCTCTGATGGGCAGCTGGGACCTGTAGCCTGGGCCATCTGTGTCTGCCCCCGTGAATGCTGACCTCTATCCTTTGCTTCCACGTGGCGCATGGCAGAAACGTGCATGCAGGGCAGACGTGGCAAGAGCCAGGCACTGCGTGGGCAGCACCTGTGGGCGGGAAAGGAGCATCAGAGCCAGGAGCACAGCTCAGACTGCATCTTCCAAGAAGCCATTGCCACCCTTGGAAATAGCACAGTGGATCCCAAGACGGGGCCTGCCACTGTCCCTGATTGCTCTTTCCCAGGGACAGAGCTGCCCCATCACCCAGTCTAACAGGAGAGTCTGTGGCCGTCCCTCTGCTGCCAAACAAATGAACCTTTTCTGGATTTCTTTACTCTCCCCCATACCAGGCGAGTCTTCGCCCCTTCACTTCCTTGAACACGCAGACTGGACTCTACTTATCCATCTCTCCTGCTCCAACATCTGTTCCTCACTGCCGCAGCGCCCAGACCCCAGCGCCACCTGGAAAGGCAGAAGTTGGCCAATACAGTGGAGCCCACCTGGCCCTTTTGTGCTGTGCCCACCCATAGATCCCACGGAAAGCTGGAAGGCACCCGTGTGGGGCCAAGCCCTCAAGGGACAGCTCCCAGCGGCAAGTGCCTACCTCCGCGGTGACAGACCAGTGGGTAGGGATGCAGGCACAAGACTGCTCCACAGAGATAAGGCAAAGTCGGGGCCCAGAGCCTAGCCATGAGCCTTTCCATTTCCAAAACTCACCCAAAGGCCCGCTGGCCACATCGTGCACCACTAGCCGCAGCTCAAGAAAATTAAAAATGGGGCTTTTCCACTGCAGAAGGTCCCAGTCGAAGGAGGCGTTTTCCTGTAGAGCTGGAGTGCAGGTGACAAGGCCCGCGTCCTCCCAGCCTCAGCTACTCCCTGAGCAACATCAGGCCCTCTCCTCCCCGGCCCTGTAGACACGGGAGCCGGGTCATTCTCTGCGGTGGGGCTGCGCTGGGCACAGTGAGATGCTGATCAGCATCCTGGCCTCGACCCATGGGGTGCCAGCAGCAACCCTCAGCTGTGACAACCAAAATTGTACCCAGACGTTGGCGAGTGTCCCTGTGGGTACTGTCACCCCCTGCTGAGAACCACTGAGTTATGTTTCTCCTTTTCTGTCAGTCTGCTTTCACTTTTTTCCTCTGCTCCCTACGGCCTCTGCTCCCCAACCTTCCAGCCTGCACCCACACTGCAGTCCCCCTTGGCACATTCTGCAGCCTGCAGGCCCAGAGGGGAGGGCACCTCTCAACAGCGGCAGAGACAAGAGTCATCCCACGTGAGTGCTCACCAAGGCAGGGTCCCCAGAAGGCCTGGTGACATCTAACACGACGGAGTGCTGCTGTCCTCGGGGAGGTGTGAGTCCGGCGGAGAACGGCCCTGGCCTGCCACCTGCCTGCTCTGAGTCACCCACATTTCCTCAGCATGAGCTGGGGGCCTTCCAGCTCAGGGGCACCCACCCTCTCCCAATGATCCTCAGACATTCCACAAAGTCTGAGCGACAAAGTCCCATGCACCAGTCATTTCTAGGAAGGGCTTTTCCTGACACATCTTTAGGTATCAGAGTCACTGAATGCAGAAGAAATGATTTGAAAGGAAACTGAATATCAGGCGCCACTTCCCATCAGAGGGACCCTCCCATGCAGAGAAATGGGGAGTCCCCTCGTGCTGCCTGAGTCACACGCATAGCCCATAAAAGGCCTTGAGGACACACCTGTCGGAGCAGCCCACAGCACAGACAGAAACTGGGCCTGCAGACCTCTCCGTCCCTGGTTTTTCCCGTTGTCTGTTTTAATGGGGAAGGACAAACCAGAATGGGTCATGATCCCCAGGTCTGGATGGGAAATAGCTTCTGAGCTGGCTGGCTGTGCTCCTGCCTCAGTGGACCTGTTACAGCCTGGGGTTTCTTCACTTAGGTGCCCGTGACGCCCGCCTGTCTGGTGCGCGGCAGACGTGCGATGCTGATGGCGCCTCGCCCTCTGGCTTGGGGTTGCGGGTAGTGAGTGCTATGTTCAGACAGTGGTCCCCGAGGAGAAGAGTGGGTCTCAGACAAACAGCCCCGGGGCCTGGGCATTCACACCTCCTCCCCTCCTGCCCCTTGGCACTGCCACCTGAGACCACATTAGAGCTAAGAACAGCCATGGGGGAAGCCCGAGGCCATTTACCTGGGTTCCACTGAGAACGTTCAAGATGTCCTGAGTGCCCCTCAGCTCCTCCGCTCCCTCCTCCGATGTGGCCACCCTCAGTCCACAGGAGGAGGTCCCACTCCCTGTGCAGAAAAGGAAGGAGAGCTTCTTCCTACGCAGGCTTGTCAGCCTGCAAACACCAAGCCTGGGGAAAACCACTCTCTGTCCCTCCACACCACTGCCCAGTAGCTGAACACAACCGAGGAATCTCCCTCTGCAACAGGACCTTGGCCCCCAGAAAGCCTGCCTGCCCTTCCTCTGTCCTAGACAGCTCTCCCCCAGCCCCCAGCAGCCCCATGGCCTTGCCTCTGTTTCACCGAGAAAATAGAAGAAGCAAAGGAGAAGGTGCATGGCATCCCTGAGACCCAAGAGGAGTAGCAGGGCTTGGCCGACGGGCTGGGGCCCACCTGGAAGCAGGGCCTTCACAGAAAGTTCTTCCCCAACCCCACGCTCCCCTAGCACCAGCTCACCTGGCCTGGCACTGCCCACAGCATGACATCACGTAAAGAGGCCTTGGTGTCACGTAAGTGCCACCTTGAGACGGGCTGGAAAGCCCTTGGGTTTAGAGTATGATGTCCATCTTTCTTCCTCTCTTATGGGACAGACGCGTGCCCAGGAAGTGGAAGGGAAGGATGAATGGAGAGACATTGGGGAAAATCCAACCCATTCCTTTCTGGGTCCCAGGAAGGCAGCAATGAGGAAAGAAATGGAGTTTCCAACACAACTGGGGAGTGAGACATCAAACACACGTCTCACATCTTTGGTAAGATCCAAACGTACCCCAGAAATGGATGAGAGGACAAAGGTGTGCTGATGACCTGTGCAGGATGACAAACATGTCCTTCTGTGAAGGGCAGGAACAGGGGAAAGTGGAGGAGGGAAAGAGGAAGATGGAGATAGAAGACAGGAAAGAAAAACAGAGATGGAGACAGGATAAAGTTAAGGAACCTGAGATGGGGAGGTTAGCCTGGAATCTCCAGCTGGGTCCAATGTGCCTACAGGGTCCTTATAAGAGAGAGGCCAGAGAGCCAGAATCGGGAGATGTGAGGAGGATTCAGATTGGGTGGTGGAGCTGCCGCATGGCTGGACTTGGAACTGGAGGGAGGGCCACAAGCCAAGGCATGCAGGCGACCTCTAGAAGCTGGGGAAGGTGGGAACGGAAAGCATGCCCACTTGCCGGGCTTGCATTTGTCCAATCCGAGAAGAACAAAGACTGATATCATGCTCTCAAGAGCCGCCAGAAGGAGCCAGCCCTCCCAATGCCTCGATCTTAGCTCAGTGAGATCCACGCTGGACTTCTGACCATCAGAAATGGATGAGAGGACCAAGGGGTGCTGCTTTAAGCCACAATGTTTGTGACCATTTCTTATAGCAGCCCCAAGAAATCCACGCAGGGTCTTAAGTGCCTCTTGTCTTAATCCATTCCTTGAATGCCAAAAAAACTGAAGAAGGAAAATCAGGGGCAGTCCAGTGTGGTGGCTCACGCCTGTCATCCCAGCACTTTGGGAGGCTAAGGAGGGTGGATCACCTGAAGTCAGGAGTTCGAGACCAGCCTGACCAACACGGTAAACCCCATCTCTACTAAAAATACAAAACATTAGCTGGGTGTGGTGGCACATGCTTGTAATCCCAGCTACTCGGGAGGGTGAGGCAGGAGAATCACTTGAACCTGGGAGGCGAAGGTTGCCTTGAGTCAAGATTGCGCGACTACACTCTAGCCTGGGCAACAGAGCCAGACTCAGTCTCAAAAAGGAGACAGAGAAAAAAGAGAAAAGCAGGTGGTGAAGCAGCAGCTTCTCCGCTCCTTCTGGAATCTCTCCCTGGTTCAGCCCGGCTGCCTCCACTCCTGCCTCCACCATGTCCATCAGGGTGACCCAGAAGTCCTACAGAGTGTCCACCACTGGCCCCGGGGCCTTCAGCAGCTGCTCCTTCACGAGTGGGCCCAGTGCCCGCTTGAGCTTCTCGAGCTTCTCCCGAGTGAGCAGCACTGGCTTCCGTGGTGGCCTGGGTGCAGGCTATGCGGGGGCCAGCGTCATAGGCCCGGGAGGCATCACCGCTGTCACCATCAACCAGAGCCTGCTGAACCCCATTAAGCTGGACATGGACCCCAACATCCAGGCCGTGCGTACCCAGGAGAAGGAGCAGATCAAGACCCTCAACAAGTTTGCTTCCTTCATCGACAAGGTACAGTTCCTGGAGCAGCAGAACAAGATGCTGGAGACCAAGTGGAGCCTCCTGCAGCAGCAGAAAACGGCTCAGAGCAACATGGACAACATGTTGGAGAGCTACATCAACAACCTGAGGCGGCAGCTAGAGACTCTGGGCCAGGAGAAGCTGAAGCTGGAGGCGGAGCTTGGCAACATGCAGGGGCTGGTGGAGGACTTCAAGAACAAGTATGAGGAAGAGATCAATACGCGTACAGAGATGGAGAATGAATTTGTCCTCATCAAGAAGGATGTGGATGAATCTTACATGAACAAGGTAGAGCTGGAGTCTCGCCTGGAAGGACTGACTGACGAGATCAACTTCCTCAGGCAGCTGTATGAAGAGGAGATCCGGGAGCTGCAGTCCCAGATCTCCAACACCTCTGTGGTGCTGTCCATGGACAACAGCCGCTCCCTGGACATGGACAGCCTCATCGCTGAGGTCAAGGCGCAGTACGAGGAGATCGCCAACCGCAGCCGGGCTGAGGCGGAGAGCGTATACCAGATCAAGTATGAGGAGCTGCAGACGCTGGCTGGGAAGCACGGGGATGACCTGCGGCGTACGAAAACTGAGATCTCTGAGATGAACCGGAACATCAGCCGGCTCCAGGCCGAGACTGAGGGCCTCAAAGGCCAGAGGGCTTCCCTGGAGGCCGCCATTGCAGATGCTGAGCATTGCGGGGAGCAGGCACTCAAGGATGCTCGTGCCAAGCAGCAGCAGCTGGAGGACGCCCTGCAGAAGGCCAAGCAGGACATGGCACGGCAGCTGCGTGACTACCAGGAGCTGATGAAC